ACTTTCATTTTTTTTAAATAAAAAAATTTGTTTTTCTATCAGAAACTCTAGTACTCGTCAAAATGCTTCAGATGAGCTATTCAGAACTATTCGGTCTTAAAATTGGGTGTGAAGTTAGCACCCCATTTTTTAATTGCCTTTTTCATAGTGATAATCCGGAACTCTTTTTATAAACATAAAAATACTCCTATACTCTTCGAAAAGAAACTAGAACTCTAATCAGAACTATCGAATTTTAAAGTAGGGGTCCCAACTTTACATGCCGCTCGAATATTTGCCGAATTGCCGCACGCGGTAACGCCGATATATTGCCCTACAGGTTGTTTCAAAAAAGGTTTCTTTCATATGAAGAGTATCGTTTGTCATGTACAATCGAGATTTGTAGAGTAAAAAATGTTTTCTAACTAGCAGCTTCAAAGTTAATGTATTTCAATATTTTGTAAATTCATGAAATGCTCAATCTTTTTTCAAACTACGGAATTCAAACTTAAATTCTCACAGAGCATATTTCATCGAATTAATTCAGGAGTCATTTGGAAGGCAAATGTTATGCGAAAGTCGAAATAAATAATATTCGTTCAGCAATTTTATTCTTTCAGAACGAAAAAGTCGTTCTTGTGACGAAAATATTTAATACATAAGACAATAATAATACATAAGTGAGAACACATCTCGATAAAATATTCTTCGGTAAATTCTGCTTTATGACAATAAAATCTTCCACAATGTGACTATCTATCAATCGATATAACTGATGTTAACGGAGAAATAAATCGCATAATCCATCGTAGAGCGCATACGCGTATTTTACGAGGCACAAACTGATGAAACTACCGAGTGAAAAAAAGGCCGATGGGATCGCTTTGTTTTGCCTGAACTAGTCGAATTGTGGAAGTTGCGTGCTCGCGTCCGTTTCCGGCGTAATGCACGTGAACACGAGCGAGCGAGCGAGCGTTCCGAAATTTAAACGTCGGCTTACCGCAAACCAATTACAAGTTTTCCCGCTTGTGGATGTCGCGTCGGCGATTTCCCGGAAAATCTCGCGACAGCGTGTACGCACCTCGTCGCATGTCTCTCTCTCTCTCTCTCTCTCTCTCTCTCTCTCTCTCTTTCTCTTTCTCTCTTTATTTCACCGGCCCTTTCTCCTAGCATGCATCCCAGTTATACGCGCACCCCTCTGGTTTTTTAACCCATTTAGTCTCTCCGCGGAAAATGCGCATCGATCGTAACGCGTATGAGACGCAACGAATTGCCATGCCCGCATAATTGCACCGATGCGAAGGGATAAGCGTCGAAAAGTGCTCCGGGCGTTCGCGATAGTTGCGAGAAAGAGAGATAGTACGAAGTTACGAGCATAATACACGAGATTACGAAATTTCAATTGCAAAATCGGGGCGGAAAAAATAAAACTAAGTTACTGCTGACAAATAAATTTTTTACATTAAATACAATTAAAGCCGTTATAGATAAAACAGTATCAAAAAGATATTAAAATTATATGCATATATATTAGATTTTCGTGCATAATTATTCTTTGAGTAATATAAAAAATTAGACCCCTTTTTTACAAAAAAGAAATAGCTAAATTTAACATTAAGTACTTTAACAAAAATTTTCTTGTAAAAATGTGGAAAATTTGGTTCAGCACATTTTTTCTAATAATTTAATTATTATTACAGTATCAATTACGACGACAATTGGTGTCAATATAAGCCGCATAATTTTGTCGTTTTAACTTGAAGAGAATTCTACATTTTCACATACAGAGAAAGGAACGATAAAGAGAAGCAGAGAGGAAGTGAGAAACCAAAAAAAAAGAGAGATCGAATAATCGTGGACGCGAAAGAATGCCAAGTAACGCGCTTAGAACAAAGACGCCGCGCGTTGGTTATAGCGAAGCCCGCGACCTATTCATATAAAAAGCTCCCACCCGAAAGTACCCAAGTTTTATGACACGCGAGTTCACACGAAATGCGACTCTACGCTCCGACGCGAGAAAAAAAAGGAAGCCGAAAGTTCGCCGCTATGAGATTAGCACGTGCATAATGTATACGCAATTAACGCTCGTATTTATAGTCGCACTTCTGCCGAAGAATTTAACTGAAATTAGTCGAAAGACAATAATACGATTTAATAAATATATCTTGAAAATCAATTTCATATTTCGTTACGTCGTGTTTACAACCGCAATTCAATTTAAGAACTTATAATTAAGATTGTACTTAAGATGGTCTTATATAAGAACCGACTATGAATATCGACCTTAATGCGAAAAAAAATACGAAGCTCAATGATTCGCTCGAAACCCGAGAATCTCGATGTGGTTAATAAAATCAAGTTAATTTGACTAATTTAAAAACAGATATCCAAAAATATGCAATCAAAATATAGTATTGTATATGCAATATGTTTTGAATGCGCAAATTCAATGAAATACATGTATTATACCAATAAATGATCGATATATCACGGTTTTCCATTACTTGGATAAATTCGATCCGGCAGATTTGTATGTTATTCCACGCTCACAATCCAAAAGTGATGAGCAAATTACATCGAAATCAGCGAAAAATTCAAAGCCGCGATACATTCGAATCTAATTGTTACAAAGAAATTGTTACCGACCGTATAAATATCGCAATAAAACAATAATTTATAGCTCCCTTACCTTTCGATTCCGTGAGATGAATAAATTGGGCGAAATACTTGATTCGATAAATAGTCGATGCATTTACAATCGTTAATCGCGGGAGTTAATTAATCCGGCTGATATAGCAGCTAATAATTATTCGTAAAAGATAATCACATTTAGTATCTTCTGGCACTTGACATGATCGCATTTCGTCGGCTAATATATACGGCGACACGCGGTACGGCTCGTGACGCAACCTGCTCGTTCGAGCCTCGCTGCGTGAATTACAATGCTAGCACGGCCGCGGTGTCCTTGTTTGTGTATCAAAGCAAACGCCAAGGCCGCGCGCCAACCGACTTGTCGACTTTTCGAAATACTCAACGTTTTATTATAAACGATAAATTTCAAATACCTTCTTCTTTACATCTTAGACTTTAATTTTAATTTATAGACAGTTGTAAAGTAATTAATTTGACATTTATTTAAAGTGTGATAAAATTTAAAGTGTAATGAATCTGACATTTATTTATGACGTAATATATCGAAAAATTTATGTAATTTAATTTATTATTACTTTTAATGACAAACTTTTACATCTCGAAACGGTTTAAATAACGTGCATGATGTTATAAATCAAAAGTTTTCCCAAGATTTTTTTACATTGTAGCGAAAATGTTATGAGATTCTAAAAACTATTAGTGTCGAATAACTATTGATATACACTTTTATACATATAAGCTTTTTTCAAAGAATTTATTATTGAACCGCGAGGAATAAAATTCAAACTATATGTCTCAAGACAATTGTATTTAACTCTATTTTCTTCAACGTTTTTTCCGCCCCTTTAATCCTCCAACCATGCACTTTCGAGTCCCATGTGTTTTTCAAAATGTTAATAGCTTTGAAAAATTCCCCAAAAATTATTATATCTTTGTACCTTCGACTAAAAATCAATGTAAATAACATTTGGAAATCATTTATTTAAATATTCTTTTACAACAATTATATATGTTGCGACAAACACACGTTATGACTCGTTTTATTTAAAAAATCATAACTCACGAACAAATTGACGAAGCTTAATAATCAAACACGCGAATTAAAGCTAAAAGTAGTGCAAATGAGAAAAAAATATGAGATAATTATTAATTAAATAAGAATATTTAATTTTTTCGCCGCAAATTTGGTAATTTTTAAATGGTACAGAAGGACTTTAATGATAAAACTATAATGTTACAAACATGTTTTTCAAAGAAAATCGATCTAAGCATCCATAGATAAAATTTGTCACAGTATCGATCTACAAAAGCAATATAATATTGATGATATGACAATGATAATGAGATAGGCAGGCAATGATAATAAGACAGGCAGGCAAATTTATGTGGAAGTGAAATATCTTCGGAGGTAAATCAGCTAATGTGGCGGCGAGTCATTAGCGTGGCGATGTATTTCCAATACGCTCCACCACTTCTGATCGCGGATTCCGTTGAAAAAGTAGGCGAAAAACGGGCGCGAGAGGGGAAGCCACCGGCGTTGACGTCGACGCTTGGGTGGGAACGGGCGATATTATACAGTCAGCGCCGATAAACGCGACGAAGCGTTGCGGCACGAAGCGAGATAAGGCATTTCGCGTGCGAACGCGTCCGTATGCTGCCTTAATTCGCATCGACGATGGACGAGTCCGTTCATTCCCATATCGGCTTTCATTTTATATTTTCAGCGGGCGAGCGCGCACGATCGCTGCGCGAAAAACGCTGCTGATTTTTTATTGCCGTTTGAGGTGTAGTGCACCCAAGCGGCAATTACGGCATATTTCCATTAACGCTGCGACGCGATTCGAGAGTAAAAATTTGAGGGGACTAAAATTTTTTAATTCGCTAGTAGGGAAAATGCTAATAGACTTCGGTACTTCAATCCCTCTCTCACTTCATTTTCTTTATCACCATCCAGAAAAAAATACAATTATGCCGATAAATGCGACAATTGAAAAATGTTTTTATAAATAGGATAGTTATCTCTCTTTCTCTCTCATTATTAATTCGTTTGAGATAAAATGGCTTTTACTCGCAGAGTTAGGTTAAAAAAAAATACGAACAACCAAAAAGCAGATCGACGCGATAAAGAAACGCTGTATTTTCTTATTATATCACGTCGTTAGAGTAGTTTACATGCAGTCGTAAAATCCGTTTTTGAATATCGAGTCGCCGGCATGTATCCACCTTCCTGCCCTTTCTCCAGCCCTTCCTCATCCTCATTCTCATTCTCTTACACCCCGTTGATTTGCTTGCCGGCTCGTGTTTGCTCAATCAGTATAATTAATGGGAGCCAGTGACTCATTGTGGCGCGCCCGATTCGATTTCAGTTTCTCGTCAACGGGGTGGCGGAATGGGGCGGCTGGCGTGCTCGCACTCACGTGGTTTTCGCGTAGGCTCCGTGCGCAGGTGGACGCGTGCACTCGCGTGTTTCTACAACACCAACCGTAGCTTGAACGGAAAGCTCGGCGTCTTCCCAGCGAAGGAGAACGAGGGGTGAGTTTGGACGCGAGAAGGATTAATTAAACGAAAGTTTACGAATGAATTTAAAAAATATGCGATTGGACACGAAATTTCAGATTGATATAAAAATCAAATTTCAGAATATAGATAGAGGACAGAATCTTATTCTTCGATTTACTTCAGAGGGACTTAAAATAAGATTCTGAAAATAAAATAATTATTTCAAGCACAAGCGCAGTACGATATTCATAATGATGAAAATAGCATGCATTGAAAAATATACGTATTGATTATGATTAATTAGATTATGAGATAATCATCTCGTAACATTTTTATCTTTGCATTATAACACACACACCTGACGGACCGCAAAACTCATGAAAAAAAGAACGTGCGAGTAATACAATAATTTATAGCCTCATGACCGCGTATAGTATATTTTTCAATGATTAATTTATGACCACGTACAAATTGCGCTGAAGATGACCACAAAAAATAGTAGAAACGTTCGCGAACTTTTATATATATAACTTATCAACGGTTTGAAAAATATATATAACTTTGCACCCCATTTACCGCGCTGGCTCTTATTGTTTCTTTCCCTTCAATTGCATTTTTATCTTTATTATGTCATATCTAAAATAATGAACAGCTTAATTGTAATGTGCAGTAATTTAGAACGGCTGACCGAAATTTGACGTTGCATCGGGTTGTTTATGTGAATTTCGTAACGTGGACTGATCGCTCTCTAATTTTCCAAACGGAAACACTTTGCGTTTTCCCTGACATCCCCCGTCCTGTATGTGAGCCTACATATGTTCGTCTAGTCGAAATCGATACGCGTATGGCGATATGGTTTATTGGTACCTTGGTCAACCGGTCGCGCATAATTGGAATCCAAATCATACGTTGGCGCGCGAACGCATGATTCGCAACAGTATGTGTCATCCTGCGTGTATGTTAATTAGACGTTTTATCGCTCGATAAAACGAGGATTTTAACCTCATACCCTTTTTCGCATCAAAGTCAAAAGAAATTATATATAAAAAACTGTACGAAATCATTGATTTCTCTGCAGATCACAATGACAACGTGAAAAATCGCAAAATAGACCACGGCCGATCGTGTCTGCGTGTCAGAACGATTAAATTCCATCAACTCGCCGAAGTAATTAGCTCATGCGTCGCTCCGCGTCAGAAACCAGAAGTGTATACTCGCGTGCGACGTTTCTCATCGCCCACTCGTGCGATCTCGCGGAGATTTATAGGACGGTTATCGCTTGCGGCACGTTGCGTCGCGTCTCTGTTTATCGTATCAAAATAACGGGGGACGGAGGCGGTCGTGCGCGAGTTTTTGTAGCGTGTTATCCAATTATCGGCAGCAACGGGAATGACGACGACGACGACGACGACGCGGCCGATTAAAAGGCAGCGGCGCGAATAAATTAGCGGCGCTGCGGGCCGCCTCTTCACGCACGACGGCGCCGAGCGCGATTTATCGCGCTCGCTCGGCGCTCCCGCTTCCGTTTAATTGCCCGCGCGCCGCCGACGTTCATCTGATAAATGCGAAATCGCTGCGCGAGATTACAATTAGCCGGGCGAGCGAGCGGCTTAAACGTCTTAACAGCCCCCGTCGCTTTATCGCGCCAGTCTTCGCGCCGGAGAGCGCTAATGTACGAATTAGCGCCAGGCTTATCTTTGAAATACGAAATAGAAAAATTGCACGATATACGTGAGAAGAAAAACGAAAAATTCACGTGTGCTACTTAATTGAACATGTTCCTTTCAATATTTAAGGAAAATATACACGATAATAATTAAAATGTATGTAATTATGTCCTCGAGAAATCTACCATTGTCTCAATTTATATTTAAAAAAATGTTTATCTTTCGTCATTTATATAATAGAGATTTAAAAAAATAGATATCAAACAAATGATCACATTGCAACTATCATAGACTTACAATAAAGCAGTCAAAGATGATTAATTTTCTGCATTTGAAATATACTATTTATTCTTTTATCAAGAAATTATACGTTTTTATAAATGCAATAAAAATAAAGTAGTAAAATAAAATCAATTAGAGAAATTGTCCTTGTTCGTCATTCATTTTCTTTGTGCCGAAGCTAGCCACACGTATAATTCGTCGACATGTATAAACGTCGTGAGAAAGATTAATAATACGGGGAAAAGTTAAACCAGATGGAAATTACCGTTTTATTAAAAACCTTAAAAAATTAAATGTATTTGTGAAAACAGAACATTTTAAATTAAAAAATTTAAGAGCGGCTTTATAGAATTCTAGCACCTGGTATATGTACATGGATACAATCGATTTAAAGGATGCTTACTTTCTTATTCCCATACAAAGAAAGTTTAGCAACTTCCTTCGTTTTAAATTCAATAATTAACTTTACGAATTTACTTGTTTACTGTTTGGCCTTAGTTCAAGCCTCTTAGTGTTCACTAAATTAATGAAACCAGTAATAAATGTACTAAGATCACTATAGGTTTTGATCTGTGATATATCTTAATGATATATTATGTTGAAACAAAGCAAAGGTGAAACAAAGCAAAAATGTAAAACTATAATATTCAAACTACATGAAAGTTTTTAGAACCGTTAGGATTTATAATAAATATGAAGAAATCTAACTTAAATCTAAACATGAAATCCAAATATTTAGGATTTAATTTAAACTTAGTAAATATGTCAGAAATACCAATCGAGAAAAAAGCCAGATTAATGAACCAAATTTATAAATTTGAAAATAAAAAAGTATGCTCGATCCGAGAATTTTCCCAGTTCATTGGCTCGTTAGTAGCAAGCTCTCCAGGTGTTGAATATGGTATGATTCACGCAAAATCCTTAGAAAAGGCAAAGTTAGAAGCATTAGGTAGAGACTACACAGACCTCGATAAGAAAAATGAAAAATCCAACTTGTATAAAAGAAGACACAAGTTGATAAAAAGAAAATTTGAAAGACTTTCGGAAACAAATTAAAATAATGAATTTTAAAAAGGAAATCTTTTCAGATGCTAGCATGACAGGTTGGAGGGCTTTTTGTAATAGTAAAAAGGCGCATATGTATCGTGTTATCGTGTAACAACAATATACAGTCGAACAATCAGTATTTAAGCGTTATGTGATGTACCTTATATTCGCGATGATATAGGTAAGACTTTGCAAGCACGTTTATAGGCATTCGCGATTGTATACTGGCCGTTACCGGACTTTCGCTGATCACAAGCTAGGATGCTAACGGATTAACATCTCTCTGAATTACGAGGATTGCGCGCAAAAGCATCGTGTTTCAATAACGCCAAAGCGGTTCGGTTTCACTAAAATGCCACTGGATCGCCGATTTCGCCGATACAGCGGCGATACATGGCGGATTTTCCGACGGCATCGTGTGTCGGCGTTTTACGTTGCATGCACACATACGTTGCATGTGTAATTAGTAACATATCGCGCTTTTTGAACCGCGCCCAGGCATCAGAATTATGGCATTCATAACCTGCAACTATTAAGGCCCAGTTTCACAAGTGTCGGTTAATTTTTAATCTTAGATTAACACACTCTTCGTCTCTTTCTAAGGGGGACGTTAGAAGGAGACGAAGAGTGAGTTAATCTGAGATAAAAAGTTAACCGATAATTGTGAAACTGGGCCTAAGGAAGCGAGAATCATAAAATAAATTTAATTTAATAAGAATAATAAGTAATATCAATATATATATACACAACTATTTTCCGTATTCTAGACAGTGGCAGATTTACGAATAACAGAATATTTGAAAGCTATATAAAAATTTTTAACAATTTTTAAATTAAATTTAAATTTAAAAATTTAAAACAATTTTTAAATTACTTTAACAATTAAAATACGGAAGCTTTTGCGTGCTAAAAGTATTATAGTTGTATTAAAATTCGATCATCATCGAATTGAAACTTTTCTTTCTATAGAAATAAAAATCTTATATTTTGTATCTTATTTAACAAGACGTTGCAATATTCAAGGAGAGAGATTATATTTTCACTGTAAAGAACTTTGTCCCTGAAACGAATGCGTAACTCGACGATAATTGTTACATTTAGGTCAGTCTCACATCAGCGACCAGTGACACCGTCACATTGAAATAAAAAGTCTTCTTGTTAAATTTATAAACAACTTCATAAATTATTGAAAAATCCGACATGATTCAAATGGTTAAAAAAAAAGTACCGACGAACCGCCGCGAAATCACGTTGCATCGGCACTATCCGCGTTTCCAATTTCGCAACGTTAATTCAGAATTAACCAAACAGGTTCGACCGCGGTGTAGCGCGATGGACATCGAATAATTGAGTAAAACGCTCGGGGGCGGGCGCCGCTGGTTCTCTCTCGCATCTTCGTCTCGCTTTTAACGTTAATAATATGACGCGTGCCTTTTAAACGCGGCGCTCTATTAATGCTGAAAGCGAGATATCGGTGCGACACAGAGTCGGGTCACGAGAGATCGCTCGATGAAAGTTTAAACTTGCGGATAACGGTCCGGGCGTATTATGAGAGCCGAGCTATGACAAGCGCGAAGGGAAAAATCGTCACGTCACTCTCGAGCGACAGCGCGAGCCACGAAAATTATTGTGCGAGGAATGCGGAAAAAATTGCCCGCCGACGCGACGTATGAAACGTTAGGTTTTAGCGAGTCGCGATTTTCACCGGAGTTACGCGGTTTTTTTTTCATATCGATTTGGTCGCACAGCGGATATTTTTGAACAATTGCACAAGAAGACTTACAGAGCAAAATAATGCAAATAATATTTTTCCTCAAATATTTTTCCAAAGAAGTAGGCTAAATCGATGAATGGATGTAATTCAAATTGAGTCGCATAAGTTTTCTTTACAATCTCTGACATTTAATGCATTGGTGATCAAACCACAATTGAAACTTAGATTTTGTTAAAACAGGACGTTTAAAAGAGGGAAAATTTTTATTTGCAAAAAAAAATTTTATTATTTATCCATGAAATCTCCAATTTGTCAAAAATTTG